GCAAAGTACCCAAAGGTACTAAAAATAGTACCCGCGAAAAGATTACCCAAAGGTACTAAAAATAGTACCCGAGGGAAGAGTACCCAAGGGAAGAGTTCCCAGGGCAAGGAAAAAAAAAAAAAAAAAAATCCTTTACTGTTCACATGAACAGTACCCACGGGGTACTATTCCTAGGGCAAGGAAGAGGGAAAAAAAATAAAAAAATTCTTCTACTGTTTACATGAACAGTACCTGCGGGGGTACTGTTCCTAGGGCAAGGAAGAAGAAAAAAAAAAAAAAAAAACCACTTCTACTGCTCACATGAACAATACCTGCGGGAATAGTACCCGCGGGGTACTGTTCCCAGGGCCAAAAAAAAAAAAAAAAATTTACATTCCCAAAGCTAGACGAGCAAGTTTGGGAATGGGGGGCAACTGATAGGGAAAAATAACTTACCTTGACCAGCTACCAGACCTCTTCAACATATTTCGTTATCAGAGATAAAGATTTTCATCGGATAAGAATGATAACATTCCTTATCTAGGATAATGAATGACGACGTAGTTCAACAGGGTGAGAATAACCTTGACATAATTTGAGAAAGTCAAAGGAGTAAATCATATCCCCGACAAATTTGGCAACAGACGATCTCCTTTGATCTCGCACAAGCAGATCTCCCGTAGGACCAATTTAATTACGATCGACAGCTATAAATAGGGCACCAAGCCATTAAAGAAGGTAGGAGAAAAAAACCCCTAAAGATAATATACATAATTATTATGTGATACGATTACAGGTACTAACTTGATCGTCGGAGGGTCCTTGGCTGGCACCCCACCGGTGCCATTTGAGGTGACGTCCCTTTAATATGCAGGTAAACGCCGTCATTCCGAGTCATGAGGATTTACGCATCAACAATAAGTATTTAAATTTAAAAGAAACTCTTCATAAAAGCAGGCTACTTAGTGAGCAAAATATATAAATTATTTATTTTATAATTGGATATAGTGAGAAACTCTTCATTGGATATGTTTCACTCCGAGGTGTTAGTAGTTAAGAAGGTAACTTTTGAAGTGTTTTATTTTTATATTTGAAATTCAAAGGTGTAAATGTGTATTGGCAAGAAATATTAAAAATATTAAAATGCTAAAATGTGTAACATTAAGGAATTCAAAAGGTGTATAATGTAAATTGAAAAATATGTGTGTGTGTGTGTGTGTATATATTTACTTTACAAAAATATTTATTATTTTAGAATAGAGGAGGTGTTTACGGTTAGAAGGCTATTACAAGAGTTTAATTATTTTATTATTATTATTTGAAAAATCATGTTTCCTGTGAAAACAAAAATTTAAAGTCATGTTTTCTTTTAAAATTAAAAAACTAATTTTAGTGTTTATAAATAATAAGAAATAATCCCTTTTTATAAGGGATATAAATATAGATATATTTAATACACATATTACATATAATTATATATTAAAGTGATGGAATTAAATACCATTATTTTTATTCTAAATGCAAGAGTTTCTTAATTTCTCAACATTCTTATCCTAAATCTTTATGGAACATATTTTCAAAAATCTCTTCCAAATATAAAGACATTACATATCCGAATCATAAATATTTGAAGATAATTAGGCAAGGTAGAGAACGTAGAAAAGAACTATATTTCTTAGAGAATTAAGCGGAAAAAATAGAAAGAAAATCAACATGGAACAATGAACACATTATATATGAAAAGAAGATATATAGAGGCTTTAGATTGTTGGGATCACAATGTAGTTAGACAAAAACAATTTGTTATAACATAATATAAATAGTACAAATAAAGTATTATAAAATAATAATAGTCCATTAAAATATAATAAAAGCATATTAAAATAAGAAAGAGAGTAAGAAACTTACTTTTGGCCTCTCCAGCATATTAAAATAAGAGAGAGAGTAAGAAACTTACTTTTGGCCTCTTGGAGAGTCAAGACTATGAAAGGCTCCAAAATTGTCAGGTTAATGAACATTGATCAAGTCTTACATTGCCATGTTATCTATAAATTCAAGATATATATATATATATATATATATAGATAGTATATTGGATGGACGAATAAAGAAAGTTTAGAAAAGAAACAAAGTGGAAGATGTCAAATGTATATTGTTTTTATTAGACTATTATTCTATTTATAGGCTACTACACATCTATTCATGAAAGATATGTCTGTTCAACTATAAGATTTTTTTATTGTTAACTTTTTTCATAACCATTCATTTTTCTTTCACACGATTCATTAATAGACTTTTAAAAACTTTATTTTGTTGAAAACCAATTTAATGCATGCTAATAAAAAATGTGTAGGGGTTCAAGATGACTGGAATAAAATCTCTACTAAATTTTTGCAGAGAAATTTTTGCATAGAAAGATAGAGGGAGAGAGTAAGAGTGAACATTAGGGAATTGAAAAATCCCATGTACTTTTTTCTTAAAAAATGAAAAATATAATAAATAGAGAGGTGATGTGTTTTAACTGACAAAAACTCTCCATGAAGGTAAGCAAAAAATATTAAACAAAATTTATTTTTCATATTAAAAATCTATCGAAAGTGGAAAAGTGTATTGGCATGAAAATATCAAAAAAAAATGTTGAAATCCTAAAAGGTACAACATTTAAGAATCAAAAGGTGTATAACAGCAAAAATTGGAAACTAAAAAGTCAAGTAATGAATTTTTAAAATAAATTAAGTGTTTTAAAATGTATATAAATATTAGAAAAGACATTTCTCAAATTAATATATATATATATATATATATTACTTGTCATATTCATACCCCTAGTTAGTTTATTTTCATATGATACACGAATTAAACGCGTACGTACGAATTTTGAAAAAATACTTTCATTTGCCGATCAGAGTTGAAAGATACGATAAAATACGGTGTTTTTTTTTTCATCATCCCATATGTAACGCGTTTATTCATTTATTCATTTTGGTTGCTCCGTTTAATTCGTGGTTATACTTTAGGGTAACGTAATTGTTTTTTTTTCTTATCATGGTGTATTTTTTTCAAACACACATTCTTAACACAAACTACCGTCTTTTGTTTGGTATAGTCCTTTTCTGTCACACCATCAAAATCATACTATTTGTTGTGCAATTTTGGGAAAAGTTGTGACCACTCGGTTGTTCTATTATCACTCTATTTTTTTTTTTTTTTTTAATATTTTATTATTGTCAATCCAATGCTTGATCTTTAATTAAAGTAATGAAACACCTATTATTATTATTATTTTTTATTTGTTACCTATTATTGATTATTCTTCCAACTATATGATATATAAGAAAATAATAAGATGTGTATAACCGAATTTTTAGCGCATATAACGTATTATACATGTACGCATTCGTATTCGGATTTTTCTCTTTTTTTTTTAAACGTATTTTTAAAAAATATCGAATTATACTCGTATGTTTTCGTACCCGTATTTTTCCAATACCATATTTTACTAACTATGATTCATACCTGCTTACTCTAGATTAATTAGGAAATACTCTAAATTGTTTGTAAATATGTTAAAGCCCTAGCCCGCAGAGCCCACCTTAGAAGAATTTGTGTAAAAAATAAATCAATTAATGTTATACTTATAACTTGGACATAAAACCTTAAACATAAATCATAAGCACACAACCAATTTAGCTACCACACTTTTGTGATTTAAATTTAATTATAACTATATATAATATTTTCGGGCTTGGGTTGGGCTTCGGGTTGCATCCATATCAACCCAAGCCCAACCCGAATTAAATTTGGGCTCAAAATATATAGCTTAGGCCCAAACCAAAATTAGGAAAGCATTGCCCAAGCCCACAAAATTTTGGACTGAGCTCGGGTTATTCAGGTTGGACCCGCCCGAGTTGCAGCCCTACTATAAATAAGAGCTAGCAATACAAGTTTTTCTCATTCACCTGAACGACTATTGTACTATTTTAGAGTTTGTTCATGCTCTACACTCAATTGACGCTAAATTCACCATAGCTTTAGGTTTAGATTATTTTATATATATATATATATAGCCAGTCATTGAAAAGATTTGAAGTCTGAAGACTGAACGTCAACCGAATTGTTCAAACTATTTGGATTTTGTATAACAAATAATAATTCAAACTCCACACACGATATGATTCGGCTCCAAACTCCAGCCCTAGAAATCGATTTCTAAACCAGAAAGATGGTGATCTTGGAAAGCAAACATTTTATTTAAATAAACTGATCCGACATACAGGGCATCGTCAATGGCCAACAGTACATTCATTCAGAATGCAGAGTACAATTAAAAAGAACTACATAAATAATACCTAGTCTCAACAGCCCTTTCCAAGCCCCTCATTTTCCTACTTCAGAAGATTGATAAGCAATCGACGATTGGGCCAACAACTACAAAAAGAGATTACAGAGTACCACGGTTTTTATTAAACATCTCGACCAATCCTTTTCATTTCATCATTTTCCTTGGTCAGAAGATCAATGCGAGATTGAAGAATGTTGATCATGGCTTGGGCTCTCATCACTTCAATCTTCAACGTCTCCCTCTCCATAGAAACATTAAGGATCTCATTTTCCAAATTGCTGATGAACTTCAAATATCCGGGAGGGACGGATTTCTCGAGTGTAGCAGCATCAAATGTAGGCGGGGCAACATGATGGTTTTCTTTTTCGATAGATTCTAATAATGGGAACTCCAAAAGTGCAGATGAAAAATTTGGTGTCGTTTTTTTTGGTGTTGTGGATATACAAAGTTCCTGATTTGTTGTAGTTGAACCTTCCGAACCATTTGCATGGTTAGAGTTCGGATCATTAGGCTTTGGTCTTTTATATTGGAGAAAAGATATGGGCTCTGGGTCCGGCATACACGCTGAGGGACAATCCTCTGACCTCTCTCTCTTGCAAACAAATGGAGGATTTTGCGAATCAATTGGAATCTCATTTCCACAAAGAGGAGCCTTGTTCATGGAACAAGTAACCTGTATGAATATAAGCCAATATTAGGGGAGAGTTATTGCATATATTTAAAATTTCACAAATTGGGATGTTTGAACTGTGGCGTAAGCAGCTCATATTACCAGAACATCAAACAAATACACGTGTGAACATATATAGGCATCATAATCGTACAAACCAGATCCAGATGTGTAGTTCGACAAACAAGTAATAGACTATTTTGGAGAAATCACGGGACAACATCAGGACAAATACAATGCCTACTGACCGATGCAGACTAACATGGTATGGTGACATTGTCCGTTTTAGCATTAAAAGATGTTAAGCCAAATATAGAGTTTGACAAACAAGTAAAAGACACTTGTGTGTTCGGTTGTAGTGAGATTTTACTACTTCCAAAAGACACTTAAAATATGATGACAAACAAAAAATTGCCATCTCAAATACATTATGTGGCCCTTGCATCAATCTTACCTCTGCTGCCTGCCTGTACGCTGGTCAAATCACAAGAAATGCAGCTAGCTTGCCAACAAACTGTTCATGTTTGAGCTTGTTGGCTTGCTCTTGCTTCATTGTTATTTAAATACTACCTGAATCTATTTACTTGGTAGCCTACGAGAGTATCCTGATGGATAAAATCTAATCCCTTTCTACATACATAGCCCCAACCTCCAGATACATCTTAATCAAACATAAAGTTAAATCTTTCGTTAAATCTTTGTCCTCATTTTTATTATACTGTTTTTCTAAAAAAATGCTAATTATTAGGAAAATGTGTCATGTGTTGGCATAATCTATGAGCAAACTTGTATCATGTATTACATGTCGAGTCACTTTGTGAAAAATTCACATCAACATTGAAAGGTGTGAGTTGAAATTTGAGCCGAAAGGTCACATCGACATCTTGCTTCAACCTTCATCAATCGCACAATATAAAGAAGGCAAGGGACCTAAGAGACCATAGAATTCAGAATTCCACATGGAACTAGTTTATTTAATCTCTCTTATTTTTTGGAAGCCAATGGCATTATTGAATTTCTAAAATTAACTGAGTATAGGCGAGGCTGTATCTTGGGTTAAGTTTTGTTATTGGGTCTTTATATATGGTCTTTAGTAAGTTTAGAATATTTGGTCTCAAAATCTGTCTTCATCGAATGGTATCACTTGCCACCCCATGAGAGGGAGAGAGGAGGTGAACACTTCAAGTCCCAAATGGGTGATGGCTATGCTTGTACTTACTTTAGCAAAAAAAAAAGGTTCAATCCTAATATAATTAGGAGATTCCAAGCAACCGGGATATATCTGCATATTCATTAAACTCAACAGAGCTAAGTTTGAGTATTGAAAATTGTGTGATGTGCAAAACAATTTACCCTGGCGAGAACGCTAAAGGAATTCTAAACTAAATCCCTAATAGATTCATTTTATTCTCCTCCTTATTCTCTTTCATTTTTTGTTAACAGATTTTGCTATTCTTGTTACAGCTAGCCTTTTACTTTCTCAAGCTTTTCATTCCAAACTTTAATTTCAGAACCCCAAACCTTTCCTTTTTCACTTGGCCCTTAATTTACGACTCAAAATCCACAACTAGTTGCTTTTCCGAATTTCTGACAACTAACTAATTACATTTCAATCGCATATCACTTTTCAAACTAAGCCAAGTATAATCACTTTTTTATTGACCATGCACCAATCCTAGGAACTTCCCCCACCTTTTAAACCCTAAATCTATGAACTATTCATAATCTTAGCATGCATAAAAACATTGTAAGCTGAATTATTTTGAGTTTCCTAGAGTTGTCCTTCAGTCAAAAGTAAAATATCATTAAAGAAGCAATAATGCATTCATGCCTAATAGGCCATGCAGTATGGTTCTAGAATCTTACAGAAGGCTCAGAGAAAACTATTGGAGAAGGACGCAGGAAAATAACGGTAAAACATTGAAATTCACAATAGAACTCCAATAAAAATAAAGAAGCTATGATGAATACTTGAGTGTGAATATTGCAAGTAAAATGCATGAATAGGTATGCAATGTGTAACAAGCAAAAGCTAGTAACATATCATGCTATTATTCTCTCTGTTGTTTTTTTTCATACCTAGGTGACCAAAGTGATTAAACTACTTTATAAATAATTAACAATATTTATTAGAAATCATTACTCTTTATCTTATAAATTTTGAAATTCCCTATGCTTTGAATGACAGAGGGATAAGCAACTTAAAAGCAGAGGGATTCCATGGACTACTGTGTAAATTTTAATAAATTTGGTTAGGCTGCAACTTAACCAGGTTGGGGCCTAGGCACGCCTTCAACATCTGCACAACAACCACCACCAAGCCTTTTCCCAATTATTTGAGATCGGCTACATGAATCCCATGTTTCCATTCCACTCTATTTAATACAATAGCCTCAGTCAATCCACATGCCATCACATCTTTCTTTACTAACTCTACCCACATTAACTTTGGTTTTCCTCTTCCCCCAGTATTACCCTCAATGTGGACTATGTCACCTTTCCCTAACCGGCGCCTTCAACATCTACCCTCAATATATAGAATCGATGAGATACTGAACCAATTTCCTTCATGATGCAAGTTCTCAGCAAAGGAAATCAAACAGAGATTTACCCCCATATCAATCTCCAGGGGCTAGATAATTATGTCTTTACTGAGATATCAACTTGTTTTTTACTCTCATTTACAAGAATATTTGAACTCACACTTGATTCAATTGATTAATGGATTAAAAATAGCAATGAAGTGAGGAATCGCAAATGCCTTAATATATAATCCGTTCAACAGATTATAATTGCTTCCACCTGATGCATAAAAAATTCAGTAAAAAGACTTAAGATATTATATAAAAAAATCTTCTACAAAAAATTAAATTAGATTGTAAAAAGTGTGTCGACTCTCCAGTCTCCATGTGCTGCTCAAGTTGAGCCAAGTGATGTGAATGACAAACAACAAATGGGTTTTTCCATTTTTTTTTAATCTTTTAAAGGGGAAACTGGTGAACCGTTTTTAGGAACTAAAGAATGCCAACATATATACCAGTGTTATGCTAAAAAGAGGTGAAATTTAAATTTTCATAGTTAACATTGTAGCTATAGGCTACTTACTAGTCACGTGAGATAAAATCAACATCAAGGTGTGACTTGTGGTGCACATGTAGGCACAAATATGATGGATGAGTTCTTTCCCATAGACAAATCCCAAGGCACAAAGATGATGGAGGAGTTCTTTACCATAGATAAACCTCGAAATGAAAAGCTTGAGGAATTCTTCAGTTAAACCTTGAGGCACAAAGATCGAAGAGTAGCTCTTACCCACAGATAAAACCTTGTGGAGGAATGATGATGAAGGAGTTCTTACTCATAAATAAACCTCAAAAAGACAGGAAATCACCCGAGACAAATCCACCAGGAGAGGGCGGAAGGTCATTGAGTTGGGAGCAAGATTCTTGTTCCTCATAGCTTACTCAACAAGACCCAACAATTGAGAAGCCACATGAGAGATTAGTAGGTTTTGATTGGTGGCAGAGGAAAAAGGCTCCTTGAGACCCTGGCTCAAACACAACAACCATAAATGTCTAGACTAGCTTCAAGGAAGGGAAGGCAATCCTCTGGCAAACACTTGGGGCTTAGCTCACTATCATGACTTGTCCCATTCATATGGAAGCACCATATTTATGTACCGATTGAACACTTTTAATAGCCGAGATAATGCATCTATAAGCCACTCTATATCTGAGGAACACGAGAGTATTGATGTCTACAGATCAAACCCCCTAAGCTGTGAGAAAATCTCCAATGAATCATGACTAGCTGCAAGAAAATATCCCGTCAAGGGGCACAAACATAGAATCTCAGACAAGAATAATACACAATAGAGCTCCATTAACTTCCACAAGAAATTAGCCAGAAGGGAGTTGTGAATTTCGTACTGCCAACCTTCCTTTTCTTCAAATTTGCTTATTCCTGAACCAACTTTGCCAACTGAGAACCCATCATATTATTTGTTATATCTCCTCCAACCCACTCAGCCACTCTTCATATAGAACCCACAAACATACAGTTTCATATGGAACCCACAAACATAAAGTTCTATATCAACCATTTACTGGTATTGACAAAACCCAAAATATATATATAATGAAGTTGATGCAAGGGCCTTTAAAATAGTTTGCAAGAGTTAAGCCCTTAGGGTTAAAACATAGAGTTCAAACATATACGGCTACATTTAAGATGGAGTAAGATTTGGGGTGCATTTTTTCAAAATGCCAAAAATTTACATTCAAAAAAAAGAAATATTAGTATAAAGAAGAAAGAGCAAAGATGAGTTCACATGCAGCAAAAAACAACAAAAACAGCAGGAGAAGAGAAGAATGGGGCAGAGTGTAAATGATAATGATGGAACTTTAGATTCAAGAGGGACCCCTCTCTCTCACACACGCACAGATGATACAACGTTGACGACTAGTGTTTCTCAGCAAATGTTGATAAGGCAATTGATAAACTGATACTTTAGTGATAAGAGACCTACTTCAACAAGATTTGATAATTTCAGATCAACAAAATACTGAAACAATTTTGCTGAAGTTACATCCCAACGAAGGATGGCACGTGTAAGGGGCTCTGCACCAAGTGTACGAGGCCTTAGCCTGACTCAAAATTTCATCACAGTAAAGAACAACCATAATTGCTGGCATGGAGATCCTGAAAATGAAGAGGCTATCTAGAGAACTATATTTTAAACATTGATGAACCGAGCACATTTTGGCCTAATATCAGCAAATTTTGGAGGCCAGAAAATAAAAGTTGCGAGGAACCGATAATTTCTACTAGATATGAGAATACTAGAAAATAAGGGTAAATTCCATAGAATTCAATATTTTTTTTTTTTTTTTGGAGATGAATAGAGAAAAATTTAGGGGTTGCCATCCAATTTGCTCAATTATGTTGACAAATTATTGTACATTTGAAATACATCTTTGTTGCTCTACATTTGAGTGCAAGAGAGGCTATCTACTCAACTCATATCATTATGTAATCTATGAAAGAAAGAAAGAAAAAAAACATAATGCCACAGAAAAGAAGAATTTTGAACAAGTGTCGGTTCACTGTCTTGATTGCTTCAGTTCTTTTTTATTATATTGTTTTGTGCTGTGATCAGTCTTGGTTTTATATTTAACTTGCAAGTAATGAGAATATGGCAAAACACCTAAAACAAAGTTCAATGAAGCTCAAAGGAAAAAAAAAAAAAACAAGAAACACAAACCTGCTCAAGGTCACTCCCTTCAACATGTGTATCATCACCATTTGTCATTTCATCCGCAGCTTCTTCACCCGGAATGAGGAGTGAGGCATCATCATCCCATTCCTCCTCAACAAATGGTGCATATCGGTTCCCATTTGGTGGACCTAAACCCGCTTTCTGAAAAATTCGGCATAGCACAAATGCATCCTTTGCCTTGCCAAAAAATAAAAAAGAACGAGTAACAACAATATCATATACTACTCAAATTGCCAAAGAAAGCACAACCGACACAACATGTGCCCTTAATCATGAGTTACATAATCACAATTTATACCTGCGCTACTCTGGATTTCTCCATTTCTTCGTCAGCAAGTCTGTATTCATGCATGACCCAATTGGTCCGTTTACCGTCCGGTGCCCGTCCACTATGAAAGACTAGTGTTTTCTTCATCCCGATTGTCTGACCCTTATGGCGTACAGACCGATCCTTCCCAGTTGCCTTCCAGTACCCTTTGCCAGTGGCACGATTCAATCGAGACCCATTACCATATTTTCTATCTATGGGACTGAAGAAATACCATTCTAAGTCTCTGCTCTTCAGTCTTGAATAGCCTAAAACCCACAAATCACCAAGAAATTCATCAAAAACCAAAACAAAAAAAATAAATAAATAAAAGGAAGAAGAAGAAAAGAGAAAGTTGGACCACAAAGAGCTACAATGGATATGTAACTGAAAAAAGTTCAAACAAATTTTATTTATAGATGCATATACAAAAACAGGAACACGGATACTCTTTCATCCAACTACTATATATTGCTAATGCAACAACTAAGTTACATCGTTGTTTCATGGTGTTGCATTTCGTGATGTAGCTGTTGATGTAGTGTGTAGCACTACCGATACAGGATGATTGCACATCATCCCCTACACAGAAAGGGATTCGGGTCTAAGAACAGAGAGATGAAAGGACAGGGCTAAACGACACTACTAGGACTACATAAATGGACCTGGACCACCTGAATACACAAATTAACAAAGCAACTAATCAACAATTCAAAAAAAAAAAATAATAACTTTAAAGGAGACTGAAATTCAGAAATCAATAACAAGCAATTTTATAGTTTTTTCTACGTATAAAGCTATGTATACAGATAAGTTAAATCACAATACAAAGAAGCAAAATTTGTACCCAGAACACATCAAACACATATAGAACAATTAATTAATCCACCCAATATAATATTAATCCACCCAATATAATATTCAAGAGCGATACAGAGATAGAGCTATGTACACATATAAGTTAAATGACAATACAAGCAGCAAAATTTGTACCCAGAACACATCAAACACACATAAAACAATTAATTCATCCACCCAAAACAAAATACAAGGGAGATATACAGATAAATATATACACTTGTAGATATATCTATATATATATAGATGGATAGAGTAGAGAGAGAGAGGGACCTGAAAGTTCCCAGGGCTCAGATTTGTAGACATCGATTTCCGAGACGGCTTCGAATCTGAAAGGCTTCCCACAAGCCTTACGCTTGAGATAGTACTGCACGAGCTCTTCATCGGTGGGGTGGAATCGGAAACCGGGAGCGAGCGACGTCGCCGGCGGCGATGTAACTGCTACAGATTCATGACCCATGACGATTGACGACACAGAACCACAAATACACAATTGAGATCAAATGGGTCTGCAAAAATTAGGGTTTTTAAGGAGAGGGGTGATTGAAGACGACGACGGTGATGATGGTGACGGTGGTAAAGGCGTGTTTGGATTAGAAGTGAAGCAATCGATTGCCCATCGGTTAAGAAACCCTGAAGCTTGCTTGACACGGAAATCAACAAATCAAAAGCTCTTTCATTTCATTTGATGTTACATTTTATATGTGTTTTTATGTTGATTGTAATTTTATTTTATTTTTTAATATATATATATGTGTGTGTGTGTGTGTTTATACATATATATATATATGTGTGTGTTTATTGTTGTCACTTTTTTTAAGAAACCCATCTTTTAAGTAGTCTCTGAAAAACGACAGCCATTTATCTTCCTATCTATCAACGTTGCTGGCTTCGTTTTGATACGTTGAATACAAGTTGTCAAGTACAATGTACGAGAACACGAACATGCTAATGAGTACTCAGTGCATACATTTTAGGAAAATGAAAAAATTATTCAACATTTATGTCACATCAATTTGTTTGGGGCATGAATTTATCTCGAGATAAATGTTTTAAAAAGTAAAAAGGAAAGTGGATTTATGATTAGCCAAAAATTAAATTATGTCCTTAAATTATTATTAATAATATTTATGAGATGGCATTATGTGGGACGCACGTGAATGTCTTTGAAAGATTCTTAATTTTTTTTGGTTTTATTAGTATTAATTATGCATTTATTAATTCTATTTCTTTGAATTTTTTTTTCAATAAATAAATATTCACTGATTAAAAATAAGTCGGTTCTGTAAAATGATTATTATGTGTAATCTATACGATCTCATTATTTTCTTTTCTTCTTTAGTATGCTAAAACTTTTGGTTTTTATTTTTTTATTTTTATTTTTATTTTTTTTTATGCATAGAAAATGATTGGATAGCCAAAACTACACACGGAAACAACTAACCCAAAGAAAAATGGTCGTGTGATCACTATATATATATATATATATATATATATATATATATATATATATTATCAAAAATTAATTTAAAATTAAAAAAGATAAAAGTATATTTGAAAAGTCATTTTAAATTAACATTTACCTTCAAATTTCCAATAGTGTCATTTTTCTTTAAAAAATAAGACATTCTAAAATAGAAGATAATGAAACACCGAATATAACTACACAAATCATTTAGAATTTGAGTGATAGCATAAGTGTGGGGGATCAATGTTTATCTTTCTCAAAAAAAAAAAAAAAAAATCTATATATTATTAAGATTCAAGAATCATAATCTATATATTATTAACCCAAAGAAAAATGGTCGTGTGATCAATATATATATATATATATTATCAAAAATTAATTTAAAATTAAAAAAGATAAAAGTATATTTGAAAAGTCATTTTAAATTAACATTTACCTTCAAATTTCAAATAGTGTCATTTTTCTTTAAAATATAAGACATTCTAAAATAGAAGATAATGAAACACCGAATATAACTACACAAATCATTTAGAATTTGAGAGATAGCATAAGGTGTGGGGGATCAATGTTTATCTTTCTCAAAAAAAAAAAAAATCTATATATTATTAAGATTCAAGAATCATACTTTTATGGACTGATTAATTAAGATCAAATGACTAAGTATATACTAATTTATCTATATATTTATATATAGGATCAAATATTTGTGAGCTCTTCAATATGTTTGGCGATTTGTGCAATAAACCTGATGTATATAGATAAGAGGTTTATTTGAAAATTTTAAAGCCAGGTACAGCTCATAAACTTATCGAGACATTATCATATAGTCTTGGGATCATTGGTCTCGAATCAATCATCATTTGACACATAAGTTGTGTCAGAAACGTGTAAATTTTATTCAATTTTTTACTTATTTATTAAATTGTGATTGGCCAAAACCATTGATTCAGGACTATATAATAATTTCTACTTATATTTTTTCACTGTATAGTCTTAACCCAATGATTCGGGATAATATAATAATTTTTATTTATATTTTTTTTACTATATAGTCTTAACCCATGAACATTTTTCCTTAAAGATAAATTACGCGAAGTTTTTCAAAGAAAATACGTGAAATGTCATGTTTACCCCTTATTTTATAATGTATAGATAGGAGGTTTATTTGTCAGCTGTGGTTGTGAATAAAGCATGGCATCAAATGAGGGTCTTATATACTCCATTGACTATAAAACCAATAATGATTCCGAGGGTACGGTCATAACCCTCCGTTGAATCTACATTTTCCTTATTACTTTTCTTCAACGACAAGACTCAGGAGCCAACATTGCCCAACTTAAATCTTTAGAAAGCCCACTTCCCTCACCACAGGTCCATTACATTAGATTTTATTGGGCCTGAAACCAAACAAATATCTAAATCACGAATGCATGAACACGGGTACAAAAGCGACAAAATTTAAGTGACAATGCACTTGAAACATTAGAGCACCGTTTAAGAAGAATGGTGTGATTAAACATATAAAGCCCAAAAAAGCAACTTTTTTTATCCAACGATATATATATATATATATATATATATATATATATATATATATAGATTACTTGTCGTCCCAGTAATGTTTATCTATCCATATTGATTTTGGAAATTGCTGCTGATGGAAGTGAGCACACGTGCCCCTCTTTCCCTCTCTAACTTCATAAAAAAGGAATTTAATGCTTACCCACAAAGTGGGCAAATATGTAATTCCGCAACACAATTCCCCATTTAGGTTGATTTCTACGTTGCATACGCACACGCATTTGCATGGAATGACTCATCAAATTCCTATCATTTATTTATTCATACACGAACAAATAATTCTTTACTTGTTTTCTCAGTCAAATTATATATTAACGGGGGAGGGAATTTAGTTATAACATTATCTATATTTGTTAGTATTTACTATATTCATTAAATATTTATTTATATACTACATTTTAACATAATTATTTTTATCTATATCATAATTCACGTTCAATTCTAAAGTATTTTAATTGAATCATTATGTTTTAAATAAACTAAAATGTGTAAGAATAGTTTAAATAAACAAATTAAATACTAAAATGGTTCATTGGAATTTCTACACTAATCAAGTTTACTTGCCCCTCCGTTGTCTACAAAAATCACATGAATTTTGAATTCCTTTTTATTTTATTTTATTTTATTTATTATTACATAAAAGTTTGCTTATTTGGCTTAAACATTGCCAGCAATCTTCCCATTTATTTTTGTTTTGAGTTAAAAGTTGAAAAAAATAATAAAAAATAAATAAAAAATTCAGTTTGCTTGATTTTTTTGTTACTCACAAAAGAGTTCTCAAGAACTCAAAAAATAAAAAAATAAAAAAATAAAATTGTTTGCGATATAAATGAAAGATTTTGAAATGAGTCATGTTATTTAACTCGATAAATAAAAATTTACTATTTTACCAAGTCTATGTAGTTGTTCATGTATCAAATATAATAGACCTAATTTAAAATAGAAGGTAATTAATTATTTGAAAAGTTGTCTATCTTTCCATTTTTTTTACAAATAAAAGTCAAAAATCCTATCAACGTCTTAAAGCATCTCCAACAGTCAAAAATCCTATCAACTGTCACGTATGATGTGTAATTTTTTTTTTTTATTTCCAGCAGTCTGTTAAGATACATAAATGTGTAAAATTGTTATGTATTTTACACAGTAACATTAGCATATTTCTTTTCTCCTCCCTTTATTTCATTCCATTAAAGAATTAAGGTCATGTTTGGTGTGGTGGAATGAATTGAAATGGAATGAGAATGGAGGTGGGAATGGAATGAGAATAATGATTTTCATTCCACCGTTTGGTTGTAAACATGGAATGCGTAAAAATGGAATCTCATTCTCATTCCTATGTTTGGTAAGAAAATTAGAATAGAATGAATTTATATTATTTCTTTAAATTACATTTTATTATTAGTAAAAAAAATTAATTTGCAAAAATAAAAAGGAAAGAGATAATAGAGAGAGAAAAATAAACGAGATAGAGAGAGGGGGAACAAACAGCATATAGATACATATTATACATATATAGTGTGTGTATGCGTGAATTATCTCTTTAAATTATTTTATTACTTTATTAATTCTTAGTGGGAATGGCATGGTCATTCCAATTCTCAAGAAGTGGAATGGGCATTCTACCTTTTTGATGGAATGGCCATTCCCTTTTAATGTGACACACCAAACAAGATAATGGAAACCAATGCATTCCATTCCATCTTTATTTGATTCCATTCACCCACACCAAACATAGCCTAACTATATATTGAGTAGGTTTGTAAAAGTTATGTGGGTCCTGACATGAGTCGCATGACACTTGGTTGGTTATTATTGAGGGATATATTTGTACACAAAAGGTATAAAACAACCGTAGGAGCTAAAAATAAATAATTCAAATTTTTTGTGTAAATCAACCATGACACATCAGATTTACACAAAAAAAAAATATACACGGATGCAAAGAAAATGGGTGGAGGGAAAATAGGAAGGAATGAGCAAAATTCATTCATTTTGTCACACGGAGAGAAACATCCTTTACAAATTTTCATCCGTCCAAATTTGAGAAGAAGACAAGAGAAAAAATAAGTGAAAACTCTCTATTGCTCTCACTTTATACACATACATAGATCTACATATAAATATGGCCGGTCTCTTGCTCTCGTTCTATGCACATTCATAGACCCACGCATAAATATGGTTTATTTACAAACTGATTTGATTCACGTGGATTGTGATAGTGGGCTACTCGGTTTTTTGTTTTTTGTTTTTTTTATTTATTTTTTTTCATGATGAAATATGATTTTATATATATAGGGATACAATATTCGCATTCCACTTTTTTCTAATTACACTACAATTATCTTTTTTCTTGTAAAGGAAATGTCAAAAAAAATCCTTAAATTCATTAACGCAATATTTCTTATTTTATAATGTTATAACTACCCCTTTATACAAGTTTAACATTTTTATTTTTATTTTTTCTTACCTTCGTTAGTTCCTTTAATATTTTTGTTCCATGTGCTATACTTTCTTTTCTTTTTCTTTTCGGAGGTCCTCTCAAAGAAGATAATTTATTCCATACTAATAATTCTAATTTTGGTAGTGGAAAGAAATAATTTATTCAATAGTAACTTCTTTTTTTTTGTAATTTTTTATGAGCCCGTCAAAAGAAATAAGTTATTCAATAAAAGTAAGTATATATTTTTTTTTGGTCTTATC